TAGTAGGTTGCATGGAAAGGAAACAGAATTGTGCAAGAATCAACTCTTACTTGCCTGCTGTGTTCCTTTGCCAGCAAAGTACCCAAGCTGCTGTTTTAGATCAAGTCACCTTTCAGAAATGAGCAGATATGCTACCCGCCCCCACTCCCACCCCCCAGAATGAACAGAATAGTTGTGGAATTGTGGGTTTATTCTCTGGAAGTTTATTTCTGCACTTGTGTGTCCCTGCGTTGGTCTTGTTGCTTCTTTTGTCATCATCGGGGCTCCTTCACCTGGGAATCAGTGGCCGGAAGAATTGGGTGGTCTGTGAATTCACAGACTTGAGCACCTATAACCTCTCTCCACACCTGCACAGGTGGAGGAGGCACACTATGGCTCCCGCTGAGTCTGTGGAGTCGGAGGTAATGTGTCAGCAGGAAGACCCTCAGGACCACGGGCCTTCCTTTTGTCTGGCAGGGAGGGCTGCAGTACCCCATGTGAGTTTGTGCCTCATTAGCTTCCTGGTTGGCCAGGCCAGGAGGGGGGCAGCCAGGGTTATCTTTGCAGCAGAGCAGACACAAGTACTGCACTGCTGCATGAGGCCAATTTGAAGGACAAAAGATATGATGATGAGAACAATTTCGCTGTGTCTCTGAGGCTGATCATCAGAATGCTGGTTCTACTGCCTTTCTGGAGCACAGCCGGTGTTCTGCACAGGGCCACTGGCTCCAGCCACTCCAGAGGGGTCAGCGTTTTAAAAAGCTCTTCCAAGCGTCTAAAAATTCCATTTTTAAGGCTCTCTGATGGAAATGAAGAGTGTGATCTTCTCACTTTAACTTCTCCCAACCTGGTGCTAGAGAATTTGGAAGGAAAGCCAGCCTACTCCCCAGCTTCCCTGTCTGAGTTGCTGCTGCCTGGGAGGGCCCTTGCCCATCACAGACAGTGGTTTCCACCTGTCGACAGTCTGAACTTCATGCAGCTTCAGAACATGAGTTATAGGGTGCTAGGCTCTTGTTCTTCTTGCAAGATGGTAGTGTGGTGCAGGAGCAAAAGCTATGGAATGAGAATCCAGCTACTGTGGTTTTGGAACTAGTGTTCCCTAGTGCCTTGCACAACCTCTCTAAACTCTATGTGCCTGCGTTCCCTCACACTGGCCTAATCATAGCAAACTGACCTCAGAAAGTGTTGGGAGAATACAAATATGATTAAGAAAGCATTTGGAAATATATGACACATTTAGAAAGGTGTGAATGTCTGTTTGCAAATGACCCTAGAGTACCTTTTTACCCATTAATGACGTGTTCTTATCTTGAGATTTTTGCCTCTGGCCCTCGGTTTTCCATGGTTGCACTTGGTTCTTAAGTATTCAAGCTTTGTCTTCCTCCTGTAGTCTCTGGCTTGCCGATATCTCTGCCTCTCAGTTTCTAGGGCTGACTCTTTTAGGTACCTTTTCCTTCCATTTTTACCCGGTAAAATACAAACCTCACACCAGGACCTATATCAACATTCAGACAGAACCAGCCCCAGGAAACACCTCAAAAAATAGTTCAAATGTGTTTTTTAAAGATTATGCAATATTTAAAAAATACAGATTGGACCCTTCCATATTTCTTAGTAAAATTATGGAATGGTTCTCCATAACCTTCAGAATAAAGTCAAAATTTCTTGATTTCAAGGCTAGTTTGAGTTCTTAAGTCATCAAGACATCAGGAACCACAGGTCCAATTAAACAGTTCCGTGCACTTCCCCACACTTAGATTGCACAGGAAGAAAAAATTACACTGGATATTTTAATCTGCTTTGGAATTCTCAGAGAAATAGAGTCATTACTGTATAAATCACTAGCTGGGTATTTTTTGGGGAGGGACAGTGGGGAACAAAATTTAATAAATGCTTGTTAATGCTATGCATATACCAGTACTCAGATGAACAAGCCATTTGAAAGATCAGTCCTTTACATATCTTATATAAACTGATTTAAAATCTCGAGTTATACAGATTGCATCTAGTGTTTAATCAATTGGACACTTACAAATAATGGCTAAATGATTTGTTGTCATACAGAGTTGAGCTCTGCTTTTCATGCAGTGAGGAAAACGTTTTTATTTTAACACTTATGCAATTGATTGTAAACTTTGGGGTGATATAATTTAAACGGATCTGAACAGTCCATTAGCTATGTCGGTGCTGACTCTCTGGCCAAGCTGTCGCTTTAGGCTAAGCTGCTGTGTACTGTGTTACATAATCTCCTGCATTTATTTTCTCCACCTGTTTAGTTTGAATACATACAAGGTGACTGCAATGTCTCTTCAACCTCCTTCTCAATGTAAACAGCAAGTTTGAAAAACAGATTTTGGGCACTATTAGGCTTTTCTAATGGAGGGATCGGAGAACTGAATGGGCTTCACAACGTGTGTTTGTCACTATGTGGTTTTGCCCCTTTTAGTTCCATTCACTGTCAACTTTGTATGGTTCTCAAGATGATAAGCAAATGCTTGAGTCTCAGCCACTGGAAGGAAGTTAAGATTGGTTGGGTTCTTAGGAGAAAAATGATATCAGTTGTGGGAGTACACAAAAGAATAATTTCTTCAAGGTCCTCACTCTTTCTCCTTTCTAGTACTTAATTTTCTCTTCTAAAGACTGGGCCATGTGTTGCCAGTGCTGCTCCTCCCAACAACAATTGGGAGGAAAGTATCCCGTGAATTAAAATGAATAAGTTTTCTTAGAAAGTAGAATATGCTTTGGAAAGGAGCTTTCAGTTGTCTACTGTTTGTGGACATATGGAGGAGATATCCCAGCACTTGGCATGATATTGCTCTTGGTAGCCTCCTTTGGCCCAGGGTAGAGGTAAACTGAGAAAATTCTTCATTGAATAAAGAGATTGGGAAGATTGTGAACTGTTGCAGTAGCTTCATTAGGTATTTGCAAAAGAAGACACTTGGCCATATAAAATCTTCCTTGGTGTATTTGCATGAATATTAGCATAAATAGGCATGTGATTTACATAAGCTTTTTCTTTCTCACATTAGTTTTATTTCTTATTTATTTATTGTGATCTTCTCTTCTCCACACTGATGTCATTTTTTCCCCGTAGCCTTCCACATAAAATAAGTTCTGTTGTTTTAAAAATACTCAGATTCCAAAGGGGAAAGGGAAACATTTCTTTTGATGAGAATGAGTGATTTATATAGGGTAAAAGGAATTGATTCCTGCCTCAGTTTACCCAAAGTTTAGTACAGTTTGTAAGTCAATACACAGCCCCATGGAAGCATCTGTGGCCTTTGAGAAGTAAAATAGGAGCATGTAATATTTCCAGAGTGATGGGCAAAGGGAAAGGTAGCTGATATTTACAGAAAAGTCCAGAGGCTCTTGAAGTCCAGAGTACCACAAACTAACTGTGTTGTCTTGATCAACTCTATTTCTAGTCATCAATTTCTTCCTTAATAAAATAAAGGCATTAAATCAGGTAATCTTTAAAATCCCTTGTAGCTCTAAAATTTATTATTTTGACAGTCTCCTTGCTCTAATTATATAAAAAATATTAAGCACCACACAGTACATGGAGTAATATCCCGGTGTCTTGCTGTTCTGTGTCAAGCTTCCCCGCTCTAAAGGGTAGTCGGTGATTAATTTAAGCTCCTCTTTATAGCACTACTTCTCTTGCTCATTCATCTCAGTTCAGTGGACACACAAGGTGTAACTTACATGTTTATAAAAGACACCCTTTAATATACCACGGGTGGTGTCAAGGACGTGCGCAGGAGTTGGCTCTGAGCATGTCCACGTCTGTAGAAAAGAGCTTAGTTATGATAACTGCATTTTCTACTCTAGTCTGGGGTCACCTCCTGGTTTCCTGAGCAGGGGCTTGTCAGGCTGCATTTTAACAAAACCATTTCTTCAGAAATGAGAGGAGTGATCATGACAATAGACAGGGCACTAGGGCATTGGATGAATCTATTTCAAACATTCAGACAGTGTCAAATTTGTGCTTTCTGGTTTTGGGGGGCCATTTTTTGGGAAAATGCATCAGGAATTGTACTGACTGGTACTTATTAATTACATATGTGTAAGCTACACTGTGGTCATTTATAGGTGGTCAGGTCTTTTTTTCTTGTGCCAGTGTGTGGGCAAACAGAAATTTGCAGCTAGACATATATCATTGGAGGCCCTCTGGAACATGCAAGAGAAACTTGATCTCTTCTTTAACTCTCTGGAATATGAAGTTGAGGCTCATGTTTTAATGCTGTCACAATGCTATGATTAATTTAACAGTTTGTAGTGGGTGGTCATCTCTTCATATTATAAGTGACTCCTTTATAGTTCTTACCTCATAAGGAGAAAGTATTTATTTTATTTTACTTAAGAAATTAATTTACCTAGAATTGTGATGTTTGATAGGAATCTGAGTTGAGGTAGACTTGGCTTTGGTTAATAAGATTGGAGTGTAGTTCTGGCAGGGAAAATGGAATTCTCTAAACCTCATTTTGTAGCCCACAGTTTTTACAGGGAAACTGAATACGTAAACTTCTATAGTTGCCAGTTCACTTTCATTAATGAGGTACTTTTGATAGCTTTTGACCAACCCTGATATGAAGTAGTCTGCTGTAAATGAGGCTGTCTAGCAAGAAGACAAATGCAAGTCCACACGTTGTGTGTTGAGATTATAAATCGAATCAACAAATGATTAAATAAGATATATTCTATCCTCTGACCTTGACATATATACCTTTGTAACCATCTGGAAAGCCAGGTGCAAATTTAGAATTTTTGGATTCCTTGGAGTTTTGCATTGGGAAATAACAGCAAAAACTGGCCACCCCCTAGTCTTCAGCCTGTGGCCTACCTACCCCCTTCTTTTCCGGCCCTTGGCTCTGTCCTACATCACAAGGGGTCTGTTATAAATGCATGTGGATACTCCAGCCCGTATGGCCAAACTCTGTCCAGACCCCTTCAAATAGTCCCCGTGGCTACCCGTAGACTTTGAGATCTGCATGCTGACAGTATATTTTGCTTTTAGAAAGATGGATCTAGGTAAGAGGCCTGCACAGACCTGGAAACAGGCTTGGGACTCTTTGGGTAGGGGATTTATAGGGGCCCAGTGTCTGGAATATAGTCTTGAAAGAAAATGTGGGCTCTACTGGAATATCATCTTGGTCCCATGGACCCCAGTTGTGGGGATGGATGTGGACAGTCCTACCAGAGCCATCTAAAACAAGAGACCCTCCCAACCCCTGAGCAGAGGTTCCTTTTGCTTGAGACTAAGAATGGTATTTGTCTTGTCAAAGCAAAAATGATCAGATTTCATTCTGTCCCCTTTGATCACCTTCTTAGGTCCTTCTAAAACAAGAGACCCTCCCAACCCCTGAGCAGAGGTTCCTTTTGCTTGAGACTAAGAATGTTATTTGTCTTGTCAAAGCAAAAATGATCAGATTTCATTCTGTCCCCTTTGATCACCTTCTTAGGTCCCACCTCCTACTTAATAACCCAGCCACATTATACTGGACTCAGGACTTTCCCATGGAAACCAAAGTTAGCTGGGCTATTGATGGATGGAAATCAGAGCCAAATCTTTCGGGGTAATTGATTTTTAGTTATTGGTCAATAAAAGGTACCTAGAGCTAAAGAGTCCTTTGTCAGAACAGTTAATCATCCATTTTAAACCAGCTCTTCTACAAGCATTTACAAGCTATCACTGAAACAAAAGCAACTTAAGTTTTACTTGACCATTTTGCATGAAATTTCCTTTTAAATTTTTCTTTGAGAAAATTTGAAGGAAAGGCAGCAAGCTCTCCTGCATCGTCTTGTTTGTCTTCTGCACTTGTGTGGATGCATAGTTTCTCTGAAGTCCCTTTTCTGCTGGTTCCCCTGGTATTTAGATAAAAGCCTCCTGGAAGAGTTGAAGGGAGTGTTGTGTTGGTGTCAGAAGCGGGGGCAGGATCAGTACCCTTGGGGCGCATTCTCTTTGGTATTTGCATACAGCTGACTTTTGCCAATCAAATGTTGACTCCTTTCCTCCTTTCTTTTGCTGTAGCTCGAGAGGAGAATGTGGCCACCTTCCGAGGCTCTGAGTACCTGTGCTATGACCTGTCTCAAAACCCCATTCAGAGCAGCAGTGATGAAATCACCCTGTCCTTTAAGACCTGGCAGCGGAATGGGCTCATCCTGCACACGGGCAAGTCGGCTGACTATGTCAACCTGGCCCTGAAGGATGGTGCGGTCTCCTTGGTCATCAACCTGGGGTCCGGGGCCTTTGAGGCCATTGTGGAGCCCGTGAATGGAAAATTCAATGATAACGCCTGGCACGATGTCAAAGTGACACGCAACCTCCGACAGGTAATGGCTGAGGGGAGAGAACGCCTGGAGGGCTCATCTTAGGTAGTTGGGGAGGGTTGGTGAAGCAGGTGACAGCTGGAGAGGGAGAGAGATAAGGGTTTGCATATGTCAAGGTCTAACTTTCTCCCAGTTTTTGCAGTTTCCCAAGGAAAATTATTAAACTACGTTTCTCCTCATACTTTGGTTCTCCATTTGTGCTTGTTATTTAAGAACAAAATTTGGTTGTATAGATAAAAAAAGTTATAAGTTCTTTCATCCTTTTTATTCTGCTTTCCTTTTACCATTTTCTTAATTACATTTGAATCTTATCTTATTATTGTTAAATTCAATTAGGGACAGCATTTTGTTTCTGCGGCTTGGTGGATTTTTCTCATTCTTTGAATATATGTTTTTATTTTTAATTAAGTTAGCCATTGCTATGATGCCATAATTTTAATTCCCTCCAGAAAAAGTCTTCCTTTTTCTCTTCCTTTTAATTTACCATTCCTCCCTAGCTTTTTTTTTTTTTTTTTTTTTTTTTTATATATGTTGTTATGTTAACCTCTAGCCTTGGAATTAATTAGCTGGGATCTTTCTGAATTCCTCTGTTTCTCTGTTCCTTGATGCGGTGGTCCTACTCTATGGCCCCTGTCTCTACCTCCGAGATTCTTCAGTTGACTGGGAGGCCTGGAAAGAGGAAGGACCCAAATAAAAAAGTCAACTTTGGAGCAGCCTTTCCTGGTTCTGTCCGTGCTTGGGAACTCCCATCGCCTGTCGATTCTAAGCAGGCAACTCCGTCAGGTGACAATACCCTCAGAAAGCCTCAGCCAAGTGAAGTTGTTTTCAACTTTCATAACTAATAATAACAACAATAATAATACCTCACCAGCCCATACCAGTAGAAGAAAAGCATTTCCTATCGATGTCAAGGTCTGTGCTGAGACTGCCTGTCCAGGTTGCTATTTTCACTTGGTTTTCCTACTTGCAAATTTGCCATTAAACCTAGTTGGACAGCATTCATCCTTTATTAATCAGAAAACGCCATGCAAATTTCCAGAAAGTGCTTATCATATTTTCTTCTGCAATATGATTGATTTAATACCTTCTAATGTAAATAGGAAAGCAGAGGAACTGATGGGAGTTTGTGTATGTTTTCTGTTTGATAAAGGTGTGATGCCTTAGTAATGCTAAACAAATGTCATCAGCTGGTACCCACTGAAAACACACAATAATAGAAACACCCATTTCCCCACTTAAGTGTGTCAGGGAAGCCACCTGGTTAGGAGATTCCATTCTATCTATGTTGAAGTTTCCAAATAACACAGGACTTAAAGTCCCCAATCATTTTACCACACAGGAATTTGACATTTTTGAATCATTGTTCTGTTTTTCCTCCAAGGCCAAAGAACCCTATTGCCAACGTCTTCTTCCATCATCCCTCATCCGTACTTACTCAGAAGAGAACTTATAAACCATCAAGAGAACCTAAATTAAATTTCCATTTGCTAACATAGTAGGACATATCTGGTATGCCTGAGCTGCCGAGACTAGACCAAAAAGTGAGATATGACCCTTTCCCAGTTTTGATTGGTAGGTACAAAATAACACCCTTAGGCATTCCTTGGTGGAGGGGAGACTTTGTGTGTACTGGGCAGCAGAATCAGGTCATAGTTCTCACCAGTTTGCTTCTCTACATCTCTTCCACCCCACACAATTTCTTGCCATTCTAAAATGATTCCAGTTAGCCCGAGGAAGGCTCACTTTTGTTTCTACCAAAAACACTTCTAATATAGTATCAGGCCCCAGTGAAGTCCTTTAAATCCAGAAGGAATAAACCAACCTGTAATTCAAATATAAGTTGTGCTGTTTAAGTCAGAGCAACTAAAGCAAAATCACCCTGGATGTTTTCTCTCCCAAGTTCTAAGGCCCAACTCTGTGCCCTTGGACAAGCCACTTGACCTTTCTACACCACAGTTTCCATTTGTGAAATGGTGATTACAGTCCTCCTCAGCCATGTGTGGTGGCTAAATATGCAAAGCACCTTATGTTCCAGAAAGATTATGAGCTCATCCATGGTCCGGGTGCTAGACTTATTGTGACATGCACATGATTTATGGGCTGAGCATTCTGTCTCAAAGGGGACTGCATCTGTCGTGAGCCAAGGATGCAGCCAAGTAGAGCTCTCTGTTCTGCACTAGACTACAGAGCCCCTAGGGTATCAGGGTATTTCTTGGCAGAGGAAGTATTAATCTTCTGTGAGAAAGTGCACCTAAAACTGGATCGCCTGGAAATCCTGACTGAATTTTGCATCCAAATGCAATTTATTGAAAGAGAGGGAACTCTCTGAAAAGCAGATCTGATTTTGCAAATGCAACTCTTTCAGTACTGAAATATCTAAGATTATTATTTTGCCCATTATAAAACAAACAAATGAAATTTATAACATCTTTTTGAGTTCCCTAGGATACATTTGTAGGGGTGGAAAGCCCTTATTTCAATTAAACTATAAATAGCTTCATAAATATTTGGTAACAAGTATATGGTGGCCTCCCCTTTTTTGGTAAGATTGAATGGCTTCTGTTGCAAAATTCATCTGAGGAAAGTTTACCTGGAGCTTCCTGGAGTGTTTATTACCAAATGGAGCATCTCTCTCCTCATTCCTTCCTTCATGATCATCTATTTGTGGTTCTACCTTTAAACCAAGGCTGGGTACTTTATTGGGGCTTCCAACTGAAGGAAAAATTGTGGACTCTCTATTTGTTCCAAACCATGACTGGGATTAGGGACCAGTTAGTTAGTTATTTGTGTGTGGGTATATGTGGGGCTCGGGCTCGGTCCATTACCTTGCTTGAGTGCAAGGTCATGGCCACATTAATTACTTTATCTTAGAGTGCCACTTTTGTTCAACCACAAACACAAAATTGGGGTTACCAGTCTTTTAACCTCCCATCCTCCCAGCTCTGGGTGTGTTGACAATTTAACATTTGAAATCAGCTAATAATTTGAAAACAGAAAATTAGGAGACTAATGGTAGGGCTTCTCCAGTCATATTCCTCCTTACTATCCATATAAGAGATTTCTTGAAAAGCACTATTCAGGAGGAATGGGAGGAGACAGATTCCAACAGGAAGCATTCTAGCAAAGTAAACAAAATAATAACCTCATTGGGTAATAAAGAAGATTTTAGCTTTGACACATTCTAACATTGATGCATTCTTTCTTACTTTAGAAAAACTGTGTTTTCCTAATAACACAGTTTTTCTAAATTGAGAGGAAAAGAAGAGAGGTGAATGTTCTCCTTTGGCTGCACAAATCTGCAAAAAATCAGGAGAGTCACGGATCTTTAAATTACTTATGGAAACACAGAGTATGCTACATAATGTAGTCTTCGTATGAGGTTTGATCTGTAAATGTTGTAAGTTATTTTCTTTTTAGGGAAAAGTCATGATCTTCATCCATGTAGTCAGAGTCAGATGTGAAAAAAAAAAATCCGCAAGGTGTTTGTATTTCAGTTCTTTCTGTTTATCTACGTGTGGAACCATCAACTTTGGGGATGTTTTCCTTCAGAACAGGTGGAATGTGTATGTGTTGTGGGAGGGGGATGGTACGTGGGTGGTGTTCATTCAGAAGAGCCCTTGGGAAGTAAGTATGGTGCTAATTTTATCGAGGGTGAGGTATAGTCTGAGTGATATTTGGCAGAAGGGGGGCAGGGTGGACCGGAGCTCCTTTTCTGGCTGTGTCCCCCGCAGCAAGGTTTTCCATAGAGTCCTGGTCTCATTGTCTCTCCCCACTCCCTCTTTCTGTGTCGGGTGCCTTTTTTTTGAAAAACTAACACAAGATCATTCATGCAATGTGTCATTTTACTAACCGACTAATGTACTAACACCCTAACGACTCATCTTTGTTTTTAGTTTTTTTAATTAACAATCGTTCTGTTCACAATTTTTAATTTCCTTTCTTCCCCCTTCTCCGCAAAGCACTCAGGCATCGGACACGCTATGGTAAACAAACTACATTGTCTGGTAGATATCATTCTTATTGTCTCTTTTTTTGGGTTTGCCGTGTGTTGCCCCCCTTTTCCTCCCCCAAACCTTCCTTTTATCCTCTTTAGAATCATTTCTTCTTCTTTAAATTTTTTTTTTGAATTAAATGCAAGTCTTTTTTTTTTTTTTTCCTTAAAATAAAAATAAAAAGAAATGCACCTGTCCTCAAAATGATATTTGGTCAAGTTTAATGGGGACAGTTTCCTTTTCTCCAGTTTTCATTTTTGTTTCCCTAAAAGTATTTTGTAAAGAAAGTTTCTTCGTTTAACTAACTTTGTTTTGATTTGTTTTCTTATTTTGCAACTTCCAAGTTACAGACCAGGGACGGCAGAGATTTGTAGTGAGGACTTTCTTCTCTCTGTGTCTTCCTCTCCCTCTTGGTCCTTTCTTTTTTCTCCTTCCCACCCCTTAATCCCTTTTTTCTTTCCCTTTCAATGGCCATGGCTGCCACAGGTGATCTGGGGAGGAAAGTGCTCTACTTCCCACACTTTTCCTTGCCCCTCTTTTACGTGACTCCCTCACCGTGGCCAAAGGGAGCTCTGCCAGTGTGTTCTCCATACCAGCTCTGCATGGCATGTTCCTGTCTCGTGGACCCTCCCATTGGCATCAGAGCTCATTCCCACACGCCCCTGCTCATTACTAACAACCTACCAACCATCAACCCAATGCCACTTTCTTTTCTTTATTTTTCCCCTCCCTCTCCTTCATTCTCCTTTCATCCTTCATATATTTGGGGGTTGGGTTTGGACTTTTTCTTTTCTTTTTTTTTTCTTTTTTTCCTTTTTTTAGTGAGGGAGGTGGCAGGCAGGGGAAAGATTGCCCCTTTGTTTTGAGTGTTTTTCTTTTTTTTTACTTCCATTTTGTACTTCCGTTTGCTCAATGCATGTAAGTGTGAAGAGGGTTTTGATTCCTTATTTCTCGTCACCCTCTCCCACTTCCTGACCTTTTTTCTTCTGCCTCCTCTCTTGGCTCCAGATGATTCTTGCATGGGTGTGCTGGTGTATGGTGTGTGCAATGCTTTCTGCTCCTTTCATGGATGTTGGGTGTACGGGTGCTATTTCTTCCCTGTGGGCGTTATTACTACTATTATTTTGGTTATTATGCCTCATCGTTCCTTTCTTTTTGTTAGAGTTGCCTTTCTGATTTGGGCAATTTTTTTTTTCTCATGGTGGCAGTGATGGCAGCAGAGGGAGGGCAGGGGGTGGTGTCCTGGGGTAGTCCATGGCATGTATCTTCCATGACACATCAGTGTCGAGACCCTTCTCCTTCCCTCCCTGAATGCATGTTTGTCAGCGTGTTGTGAGCCAAAAAAGAAACAAATAAAAAAAGAAAAGAAAAAAGGAAAAAACCATCAACAACCAAAGACCAACCCCTAACAAACCCATTGTCTAATGTCTCTGTTGCTGTTTTTCACTACCACCATAAATAACAATCATATAAGAAATAAACAATCATTTTAGCAATGAAACGAGACAAGTGATATCGTCTGAGGATGGTTCCATTTTCTAGCCTGAGTAAAGATTACCATGGGTAGAACAAGGTGCTCAGCTTGGCAATTCTAACGAACCCTCCCATGAGTCTACAGGGGAATACTGGAGACTTGGGGTCCAGGGAGGCAGACCAGAAAATGGAACTTGGCTGCACAGGCCAAAGTCAAACCAAATTAGAAAAAATGCCTCACCAAAATCTTAACCAAAGTGATGCCACAAGTAGGGGATGCCACTGGATTTTAAGAGGACTGGAAAGTCATTGCTGGGATTTTTTTTGTCCCTCTGTCCCTCTACCAGGTGACAATCTCTGTGGATGGCATTCTTACCACGACGGGCTACACGCAAGAGGACTACACCATGCTGGGCTCTGATGACTTCTTCTACGTGGGAGGAAGCCCAAGTACTGCTGACTTGCCAGGCTCACCCGTCAGCAACAACTTCATGGGCTGCCTTAAAGAGGTAAAGTTCACATAATTCCACTGAATACACTGTGACCATTTTAGAATGAATGAGATTTCTAGATCAATGGCTGTGCGTGTCGTCTAATCTATTCTATGAGGTGATAGGTTGTAGCAGAAAGGACTTTGGACTTGGAAGCAGTTGACCTACATGTTGGTCCTGGTTTAAGCTGGTTGCATGACTTCGGATTCACCACTTAAGTATTCTGTGGCTCTGTTTCCCCATCTAACTAATGGAGAATCTTAACCCACAGGTAGATGTGCTTTAAAACTTAAATGAAATAATACAGATATAAGGACTTTGAAATTCCAAAGAACTAGAGGGATGTAAAGTTTGCTTTTGTACTTTTGACTTGGCAAGTAGGGAAACTCTAGCTAAAAGTGGCTCAATTTGTGGCTCTGTGCCTCCTTGTCTAAAATATAACATATGTATTATTTTACCTTTGCCAAGCCTGGTGTTCCCAAGAGTTTCAATATTTGACATGAAGGAAAATTCTCAGAAAGTAACTTTAAGGCTCAGAGGGCTGATTTTTTCTTTCTATTTTCTTTTTTTTTTTTTTCTTCCTTGAAAACACATAGTTGTAGCTGTGAGAAAGCAGTGGGCTTTGCCATTACTCATTTATTACCACTGTAGCTGATGTGTTGAGACCTCTGTCTCAGAGCAAAGGAGCTTCAGTCAAGTGGAAGTTCCATATGTAAGGTCAATCGTTGAGGCAAGACGAATCAGACTTGATTTGGCTAGCTGATGTGTTGAGACCTCTGTCTCAGAGCAAAGGAGCTTCAGTCAAGTGGAAGTTCCATCTGTAAGGTCAATCGTTGAGGCAAGACGAATCAGACTTGATTTGGCAGAGTTCTTTCAGAACACTGTGTCATCTGAGCAGTACACTGCACATTTTGTTTAATCTAAGCTAAGCTTGATTGCCTAACATATCTATACCATTTCCCTGGGGAAATTCCTTGAGAAGCTAACAATGTTCTTCCTTGTAGATAAAAATCCCTTGTGACATCTTATGAGCCTCCTCTCAGGGCATATGTTTTATTCTTATTATGGTTATTTGAAATTTGCTGAGCATCAGTGATATGGAGATGGCATTACACATGCGATTATTCATGTCACTGCATGTGAGCCCCATCGAGAAAGGGATTGTGTCTGTTATGCCTGGCACATAGTAGGTGCATCATAGGTATTTACTGAATGGGTCAATTTATCAAACAATTATTGTGTACCTTTTTATGTGGTGTAACTAAACTCAGCTCTTTACAAGCCATGCTCGAAGACTTGATCACCTAGGAAGGGAGATGAGATCGATAAGTGAATAATTACAGCACGGGACACCATGTGTGGAGTGTCACAGACTAAGTGCTCTAATTGATAGAGAAAACACAAATTTTAGGTGGGAGAAAAACTGATATTTGAGCTGGGTCTTGTTGCAACAAACCACATGCGAATTGAGAGGAAGGGGTGAATAGGAGAGACAAGACAAGGAGGGAAAATCCAGTTACAGCTTTGTGTTATTCTCAGTCTAAAGGACAAATTAAGAGGAGAACCCAAGGAGTACTTTACTCTCTCTGCTGAATGTTACCTATGCTTCTGCTGACTTTAGAGATTCTATCATTATTTCTCATGCAATTATGGTAGGCATAGAGCCCTTCCTCCCTGGGATTTACTCCTATTTGGATAGTATAAAGGCATACACTACTCAATGTTTAAGGAACCCTGAAAGGCTCTTAAGCACTATTAGATCACACTACATTGGAATTACCTTCACATCAGAAAAAGATTGCAACATTCCTGTTACCAAGAATGTGATTAGCAAAGCATGAGGCATTGGATTCCGTGGAGTGCTCATCCGTTTTTGTAGAGCAATGGCACCGAACGTGGAGTTTCTCCTGGGGGGGATTTAGGGGTGGCCTTTAGGACTAATTTTTCCTTACACATGATTATATTGAGCCATCTCTCAATTAGGTATTTTGAGACAACGGACCAATTTCCCAACCACAAATCATCCATCCATTAATCAGGGAAGATACCCCTGAACATTTGGAAACAAGTCTCATAAATACACCAACATGTCTCTGATGACTTCAACCATGTGGAAGCTAAAGTAAAAAATATCTGTACCCACAGTCACCCCCCCCCCCATACACATTTATACTGCCCAGGGTAGAGAGCAGAAAGCTTCAAAAGACTGTCAGAAGTGTCACTTAATAGCTTAAAAGTTAAAAGCAGTACTGAAAAACAGTGTCAATGTTAGAAATAACTATAATTAATGATAAGCAGTATACCCACTTCTTAGCTAGCAGCACAAATCTGCATTTAAATCCAGATGAAGTTAGAAGAAAGAAAGTCCAAAACTCAGGGAAAGGAGGGCCGTAGCTCCTGCCCCATCTCTGCTTTGGACATGCAGCATTACGGTCTTTCTAAGGGACTTGGAGAACTTCTCATTTGTCCTAGTGCTTTGAGTAGAAAACTTTGAATCTAATATAATCCTGGCAAATTCTTTTTTTGCATATAATCATTCCCATTCACTTTTCCGTGGGCAGGTCTGGGAAATTTTCTCTTGTTCTTGGTATTTGTCTTCAACAGATTAGTAAAAAGCAAGAGCTTCCAACTATGCTGGGATTTTTCTCCCTAATAAATCCCACTTACCCACTTTAACTATTTAACCTTAGAAGAGCCATCAATTACTTTACAATTCATTCTTCCCTTCCCTATCTCTCCTTCTGCCTTTTCAAAAAATCTCCTCTTGTCATTAGTGACACTAAATTGCCCTAAGCTGTGCTGGGTACTTTTATTCAAATCAAAGACACGATGAAGGGAACATGGGATTCCTGTTCCATTTCTTTGTGTATGGCACAAAATAGGTTTTATTGTTTGGAACTACAGTTACTTCACACCTAAAAGCTATGTTCTGGCTTCACTCATGAGCAAAAGTGACTGTGGGTTTTACCTGTGTGCATTCCTCCTAATTTGATACCACTGTAAAAACCACAACAAAGAGTGACCCAGTCATCACTGAACTTGCGGTTCTCCACATGCCCTTGTTATCAGGACAGGATTCATGTCCACTTGAGTATCACAACGTCAGCGTCTGTCCTTCTTTATGTTTTGAGTTTTAACAGGTCTGTCTTATTTTTGTTCTTCTCGAGTTCCCAGCTCCTAGAATGGTTCTTGTCACTTAGTGGTGCTCAGTAAGCATGTGCCGAGTGAAATCAGATGTCTGTAAATTAATAAATATCTTTCTTGAATAAGTGCTCTTGGGCACTACTGACCACTTGACATTTTTGGGATGACCGAAGTACAACTTAACGTGGTGTCTTTGTCTGTTTCATGTTACTATAACAGAATACCTGAGACAGTCATTTGTAAAGAAAAGAGGCTTATTTGGCTCCAACTCTGTAGGCTGGGATGTTCCAGGAGCATGGAGCTGGCATTTCCTCAGCCTCCGGTGAGGGCCTCGTGCTGTGTCCCAGCATGGCTTGGTGGAGAAGGGACGGGCAAGCAGGCATGTGCGAAAAAGACCAAACATGAGAAGCAACCTTGCTTTATAGCAACCTGCTATCGTGGTAGCTAATCCATCCCCCTGAGAACTAACCCAGTCTCAAGAGAAAGAGTTAAGCCATTTTAATGACATAATTACCTCTTAAAGACACCACCTCCCAACATGACTTCACCTCAATGTAAGTTTCGATGGGAACGAATCATATTCAAACCATAGGACATGGCAATAGTTGAATCTTTCGAGACCCCCTCCCCCACCCCCAAAGTATCTGAAGATGTGTTATATAAAAAGCCTCAGCAAGGCTAAGAGAAATGGATTGGAACTTCCTCTAAGAAGAATAGGATAGAAAAGGCTTTGGGGGAGGCATCATAGTATGATAAAAAGAATAATGGGTTTAAAATCAGAAACTCTGGTTATGAATATCAGCTTTATCCTTGGCTGTATGGCCTGGTATAAGCCACCAATATTACTTGAGTCTTGATTTCCTAACCTATAACATGGAGATAATAAGACCTCCATGTGTTCTTCTTAAGAACAAACAAGATGATGTACATAAAAGTGAAACCCTCCAGCATTATACAATGGTGTTTTTTTAAAATAATAATTATTATCAAGGATTATTTTATGCATCTTATAAAATAGTTTATGAATATAAATACAAGTGTGAGTATTTTCTAGCACATGAATATCTCTATATTTTTCATATTAGCAAATTACTGTCAGGGAAGATTGTTTTATTCTGAGATTTACCCTACTAAAATTTTTTTACATTTGGTGAAAATTTTATATTTCCCACCCACCCTCAGTTATTACCTTGTTCATTGCTTTTGGTCATTCATTTGCACTGTCAATCTTCCCTTATTAGAATGTGAGCTTTCTGAGGACAAAGGTCTTAGCTGTTCACAGGTGATTCCCCAGTACCTAGAACAGTCCCTGGCATTAAAAAAAATGCACTCAATAAGTATGTCTGTAATAAATAAATAAATGAATGAGCTAACCTCATGGAGTTCTAAGGTCTTAGCTGTTCACAGGTGATTCCCCAGTACCTAGAACAGTCCCTGGCATTAAAAAAATGCACTCAATAAGTATGTCTGTAATAAATAAATAAATGAATGAGCTAACCTCATGGAGTTCTAAAATCTGGTGGAGTTTAGATCAACAATGTCTTAGTTCAGGCTGCCATAACAAAGCACCATAGACCATAAATAACAGAAATTTATTTCTCACACTTCTGGAGTCTGGAAGTCCAAGTTCAAGGTGCCAGCATGATTGGGTTTTGGTGAGGGCCCTCTTCTGGGTTGCACACTGCTGTCTTGTCACTATATGTTCACATGGCAGAAAGAGGGCAAGAGCTCTCTGGGGTCCCTATCATAAGGACACTAATCTACCCTCATGACCTAAGTACCTTCCAGAGGCCCCATCTCTAAATACCATCACATTAGGTTAGGGTTTCAACATATGAACTTTAGTGGGGTACGAACATTCAGTTCATAATAAC